TAATGCATGAAAATCCTAACCTCAAAAAAATCACCCGTTACAAATAAATTGCTAATGTAGTACAAATGCGTAAGTTTGCTATAATGCATGTACGTACATAGGTATGAATGTAAGTATGCCCGTATGTGGGTTTGAATGTTGCACATAGTATAGGCGGAAAATAATTGTATTTGCGAGTTTACGCGCGGATTTTGCTCGTAGCACCATGACAATTGCGAATTTTTACATATTTTTTCGCTTTTGTTACTATTATATATGTACATATATATGTATTCTCTACGATTTGATATTTATGTACATCTCATTAAAAAATTTTCCATAAATTGTGCAAAATGTTTTAAATGGTTAATTGACATTCCATTTTTTTTTTTTGTTTAGCATTTGCTTAGGACTAACTTGCCTGATATTATTTTAAAATTGTAATTCTCTTTGTCGAAATGGTATTTGCAGACATACAGTGGTTTTAAAATTGTAATTCTCTTTGTAGAAATGGTATTGGCAGACATACAGTGGTTGAAAAATGTATAGCCGCACCACATATTGATAAGTTTTGAGATATACTTTTTTTTGTTATTTAATTTTAGTTATTTTTTATTAAAATGTATGTAGTTAATTTTTTAACAAAAACCCGTAAACTCGTACAAATTTAAAGCTTTTTAATACGATGTCTTAGAAAGATTTTGCAGAGTATACACTTTTGTAGCCTACTGAAATACAAGTTTCAAATGACTAAAAATTATCTTTGATTTTTTAGAATTTTTAGCGTACCCTTTTTTAAATATAACAGCAGCACATCGGCGATGCATCGAATTTAAAAGAGTTTTTCACATCGTTCCCTAGATGAATTGTTTACCATGTCCGCTCCAATGTTTCTCAAAGTTGATAGTTGTTTGTTGGATTTCACTGGGCAACTGCCTCCTTTACTTCTATACAACAATATCTTAGACTGAACGCATAAGGAAGTAATGGAAAATGTGAAATACATTGAACTAATATCTACATCAGTAGCACTACCAATATTTTGACCGCAACTGTACCGTTTACGTACTTGTGTACTGCAAATTTGCACGCAAAATCGTATTTTAAGAACGCACTTAGTTTTATCGACGCGCCAGCTCCTATCAAGAATGCTTGGCAGAGCTTATCACAAATATTTTCTTTTTTTCTTTTTNTTTTTTTTTTTTTTTGGGGAATTCGTCGCAATTATTCGGCAGTGCAGTTGATTTACCACTTATTTCCTCTAAATTAATTTAAGAAATTACTAAAACACAAAGGAAATCCATCCGAGCGATTGACAAACGAGGCTAACATATACATACATAGATTGTATAGGGAAAAAGTTATGGCAAAAGGTACTTGACTAAAAAACCACCCCAGTGGAAAAAGGTAATGTCTGGATAGCCCCTATAACCTACGCACGAAAAAATACAAGAATTTCCCCACAGCGATGTCAGACGAAAGTAATGTGTCGCATATTGCTTTACGAAACTATAAATATGTAGAATTTAAAAAAAAATAAATAAATCAAAAATAAAACAAGTAATTTTTAAGCAAAAAAACAAAACCGACTTCAATTCTCATATAAAAATTTTATTAATTTATAATTTTAATGTGAGGTAAAACCTTTCCTTAAAAAAAAAAGAATTATGGAAATCAGTTAAGGTGGTCCAAAGTTATACGGTAATCGGTAACATACATAAAATAAAATAAATAAAAAATAAAAAATAAATAATATATTCCGACAAATTGATAGCCTTCGTCCTGTTTGTGAACTCGGTTAAAAAGGTAATGCATTTCCATTTTCCCACTGGGATCATTGTATATTTCAAGAAGAATAGAGTACTGTCGTTCCTTCCGGCGGACGATCGTATAGCCACAATCCGCATTAAAGCCAGATTTTTTAATATCACCGCTCATCAGCACCCACTATATTTATGCAGAAAAGGAACGCACCCGCCTCAATGCATCACACAATTCCCGCTCATTACTGATACGACGAAGAATTTCACGAAACTACAGAGAAAAAATATGCCGTCTCAGGGCCACGCTGCGCGATCGGTCGCAACGACCGAAAATTGTACCGGAGAGTTAGACGACCTACGGAGGTTCCAAGAGCAGGGCGAACTACTGCAAGGATACACATGGCGGCCTAGTAATGGATTTCAAGAACGTACTTAGATTATGGAGGAAACACTTTTGCACCCTATTGAATGCCTGCAGCACTGAAGTTAGTGGAGAATACGAACCCGAACTCCTAGTCGATGATGATGTATTCAAGTACGGCGCATGCAATTTAAGTGTGCTCTGGCCAATCCACAAAAAAGGCGACCCCGCCATTCGCGTCCACTACACCGGAACCAGGGGGCTACTCTGTAATGCGATGAGAAAGAGAAATGCGATGCGATACGCAATCGCCACAGGGTATTACTTACGATGTATTTGCCTATCGCATCGCATTTCTCCTTCGCATCGCATTACAGAGTAGCCCCCCAGCCTTCTAAGTATAGTTTACAAAGTTTTATCGGGCATATTGTGTGAAAGACTGAAGCCCACAGTCAACGAACTGAATGCACCTTAGTGCGGTTTTAGACCATGGCAAATCCATCATAGACCAATATTCACAAAAGGCCACATATTGGAAGACTCGTGAGATTAGGATCTATTTGTCGATGGGAAGTCGCTTTCTAGAGCACGAAAAAAAGTTGTCTGTATGTCGCGATATCTGAATTTGGTATTCCCGCCAAACTAATACACCTGCGTGAAATGGCGTTGAGCAATACCCCCAGCTTCGTTCGAGCCGTTTGATACCAAAAGAGGTTTAGAAAAGGTTTCGGTGACCTCTTCTTCGGCAACACAGAAAGGAGAATTCTACTTTATAATCCCTTTACAAATCCAAATTTCCCCTATTTTCAAACAGCATAGACGATATCGGTTATTTAGGAACTGGCATTAACACCAATAATGTCATCCTCGATATCGAACAAACTTTGGACTGAGTAGGCAATTTATAAGTAGTCGTACAAAATCCCTGGTATATCAGTAACTTATCATGCCCGTGCTGGTGTATGGCGCAGAAGCATAGACAATGAAAATAGCTGACGAGCAGCTCTTGGAGTTTTCAAGAGATTCTTCGGAAGATCTACGAGCCTTTGCGCGCTGGTGATAGCTATGAGCTATATGAGCTTCACAACGTTATAGACATAGTGCGGCTTGGTCATGTGGTACGATAAACGAAAGAAACGCTCCAGCTTTGAAAGACCTCCTCTTTGTTGGCAAGACCAGGTGGAGAAGGACTTAGCTTCACTTGCCATCAGCTAGCGTGATTTGTTGGACTCGGCGGTTCAGCGCCAATCAAGAACAAGAAGAAATTGTTCCCAATAAATTACAAAGGTCAACAAAAAGAAATACTTCACTATGGTCAGTTCAAATACCCGGCAAACCAGTGTTGCCAACATCTTAACGAAATCTTTGAAGAGTGTCGGAAGTGCGTTCCGATTTCTAAAAAAGAAATCAGAATAAGTATTTGACATGGACTCGTAAATAAATTTTTTCACGATTACTTAAAAAAATTCAGCAAGAATTCGAGAAATTATTCAGTTCTTTCCGATTTTCTTTCGAAGTTCCGTAAAAAAGAATTTAGGTGTGTACAGTTTGATTTCGTTTAAAAAATCGGCAAAAAACGGAAAGGGAAATAATGACTTCTTTACGAATTCTTTAAGATTTCTCTACTTTTCAAATTACTCTGAAAGCATGGTGTGCAGGGTGCATGCTTATGTACATACATATGCCGGAAGCATGGCATGGCATACATACATATGTACTTAGCTGAGCCGTTGAAAAATATTGACAAACCAAAAACCACCAGAGCAAGTTATTTATAAAGAAAGTCGGCATTTACCAAACTTTTGCATGATGAAAAAATCAACAACATTGCTGATACCATTTGAATAGCGCACATTGTATGTACATGTGCAAAATAACGGAAACAACAATAAAAAAAAACACCGCAATCATATTTATATAATCCAAAGATATAGTGGAACTTACTTCTTAGTTAATATTTCCCGTATTATTTATTTAATTAAGTATATCAAATTTTTTTCGCACAAAAATTAATTGCACACTGTTTTTTCGTGAAGGTTATCTAGCAAGTGCGAGCAAACTGTTTATGTTGCAGCCGAAACGTTTTATTGTTGCTGTTGTTATTGTTTTCGATTCGCGCCGAACTGAACTAGGTACGAAAGTTTTATTTGTGCCGTTGAGATTTTTTCTACCGATTTCCAACTTATTGTTGTAGCACGCGCGCACGTTTTTTAGTTTTCAATGCAAAAATTAGCGCAACGTGGACCTTTAAAATGTATTCATAAGCGGTTTTATCTGTTTTAGATTTTATTTTTATGTTTTTGTTTTTGTTTTTTTTTTTTTCTTAATCACAAACACATCAAGAATACGCACTCATATGAATCGAACAACAAAAATGCACTTTATTTCTTGCACTCAGGTTTAGTTTTGCTTTTAGAATTTGCACTTAATAATTTAGCACAATTTTTCGACTTTCATCTATTGGAAAATAAGGTTTTGCCACAAGTAAAAATGCTTCACAATACACAGAAAAATCGCCTTTTGATTAGCTAATTTGGAAAATTTTATAACAAACGACGTCTGGCGAACATTCACGTCGAACATGTGACGAACAACTGATTTACTTACATATGTACGAAGACGTTTACTGTACGAAACCAGCTAGTTTGCCGAAACACAAACCGTTCGCCACTGCCAACCACCGCACGCACGCTGCCAACCCCCGATGCGTTCCACAAACGCCACAAATCATCATCAACAGCGACAGCAGCAGCAAGCTACCAAACAAATTATATTAGCGCAAAGAATATTTACAATAAAAGCAAAATGTCACCATATAAATGTGTACTCATGTAGAGCGAAAGGGGCAGGCATAGAAAGAATAGCAGCAACAAGAAAATCAGCGGTAAAAATTTTGTGAGTAAAGGAATGAACAAAAATCCATGCCATAACCGCTAAGGCCAGCTAAACCACAGCTGACGAGAAAAGACAGCAACCAGCTATGTAGGTAGCGAAAGGAGAAAACAAAGAGGGAGAGAGCGATAGAGAGCCAGAAGAGTACAAGAATAGCGAAATCTAATGTATAAAGAAATGAAAGAGCTAACACAGGAATAACCGTTGCGAAGCAAATATCTGAAGAGCATTGTTAATAAAACTGATAGTTAAAAGAAAAGTGACAAAATTCGACAGAGTGGGAGTAGGCACGATTGTAAGAGAGCGTAGATTACATTTGCAGATTATATTAAAAGATCGTGCACACTAAAAACACAGTGCGTTAGTCATATGTCTACCACATTTACAAATGTATGCCCATATGTATTTATTATGCGAAAGAGTACGGGAATAAAATTGAGATTGAAATTGTCACAAATACTATTTTTCCAGCGGTTGAAGACAATTGAGAACGGAAGCACGTTAGTTGTGAAAAGAAGAGATATAGAAAAAAAAAAGTTGCCAGGTAATGTTAATAGTTCGATGTTCCCGGGTTACTTCATCTGAACTGGTCGATAGCCGTCAAACTATTCTCACTTTGTACTAACTCAGCGCTGTCAGACAAACTCTTCTTTCTCATAGGTATCAAGACTACTGATTACATTTACAGCGCTACGAATGAAGCCACTAAAAGTTATAACGATTTTTGGTAAGTTAGGTTAGGTTGAAGTGGCTGCTAGGCCCAGAGGGCGCCAGCACACTTTGGCCCGATCAGGGCCCATTGTGATACCACATGGATAAAAAAAAACCCCTACTCCTTAAACCAGTTCGTGGAGTCTGCGAACCTTAGCAACTGCCGTATTCCAAACTTAACAGCCGCGCTTAGATCGTCTAGAAGACCTATATCTAGGAATTTCTGTCTTTTCCTGCCTAGTGCTGAGCAATCGCAGTGTAAGTGCCTTATTGATTCAGGCTCTTCTTCGTCGTGGCAGCTCCTGCAGGGTTGTGACTAACCCCGAGGCGTTCTGCGTGCCTTCCTATCAGGATATGTCCTGTGAGCAGACCAATGGCCAGTGACATATCGCCTTTATTGAGAGTGAGAATTTTCCTCGATCTCCGTACATCCCATTTTGGCCATGTAAGCTTCATTGTATTTCAGTTTTCAGTGCGCTCCCATGTGGAGGCCGCTTCTTCAAGGAAGTTCTCCCTTAGTAAGAGCTTGCAGGAAGCGAGTGGCATACCCATCCTCTTCCAGGCTGGTGAAAGTGGAGAGGAAGTACCCGCCCTTGCAAGCTCGTCTGCCTTCTCATTTCCTGGTATGTCACTGTGCCCCGGTACCCATACCAGATGCAAAGCGAACTGCTCTGACATTAAGTGATTTGCGGCAGTTGGCAACTGTTCCCGAATTTATAGTGACAGAGTCAAGCGCCATAAGGGCCGCCGTAGTGGCGATAACTGCTAGTTTTAGGCTGTCAACGGCTTCTTTTATGGCTGCCAATTTGGCTTGAAAGACACTACAGTGGTCAGGTAGTCGGAATGATCTTTTTATTCCCAATTTCTCCGAGTAAACGCCTCCTCCTACCCTATTTTCTAGTTTGGAGCCTGGTTTGGTAAGTTCCTGTACGAGCTTTCTCTCCGACTTATGGTGTGCGTACAGTTTTGCGCCACCTCCACCAAAGACGAAATGGTTTGAGAACCTTTTTCATGACAGAACCACACTCGAAGGTTTGCCTAGAGATACATTCATACATAGAAGGAAATGTAATATACCGTGTATGCCATTGCTCGGCTTTAAAAAGACGATGATTCATGCTTGGCAATACTCTGTCCCAACAGTTGCCCTAATTTCTCAAAATACATCTCTTTTTAAAAAACCTTTAGTCAAGCTCAAAATACTTTCTGCTTTGGTTTTCTTTTTATACGTACCTTGGGGTAGTGGACTATCCATCGAGTGGCCCTTATGAAACCACGACGAAGCTTTCGCATTCTGTCAGAGAAGGGTGGTGGTATATAGTATGCCCCACTCCATAATGCCATTTCCACATTCACCCATCCACCTTTGTGATAAGGGGTTCAGGAGCGTTTGCCGACTGTGCTTTCCGGAAAGATTTCTTCCAGATAGATTTCACTACACCACAGACCTTGTTGTCATTTAATATGTATGAGATCAAATTTTCAGGGCTCTGATTATGATCGGCAGTTTTCGATACACTTCCGCATTAACCATTAGAAGTCTAATGAGCAGATGTGGAGATCTCCGAAATAGCTAGCTGCTACCAAAATGCAAATTGTTGTTTTTTACTAGAAAAATTTTCATTAAAAACGGCCTCAAGCACAATAAAATTGTTGAATACGACATTCCATTGTATCATCATGGCTATACTTGCACAAGTACGGTCGGAAACAACAATGTCCATTCACAAGATGGGTCATATAAAAATCTACTTCGCCATGTGATCTGTTTAGCCGGGCTTCGATACTCGGAATGAGCCTGAAAGTCCAGCGACCCGACGAAGACGCGTCCCTCCGTTGCCATTGGGGGAGGCTTTTTGACGTTTGGTTGCGATCTCGATGTTTAGATAGGGCTCTGCCTTTGGAGCGGGAGATCAAATAGTTGCGCTGGAGTCCGCTAGCCATTAGATCAGCAGGCATTTTACTAGCAATCGCGCAATTACTTGACTTGAATGGGAATTCAATGGGTTCAATGCACGAAAACATTATTTGTAGCGCATTCAATGCGAAGTGAGGGACCTTTCGACGATGACAATTGGCTTATTAGCATTCATCAAGTGCATCCTGCAGGGAATTTAATTAACAGGGTGTGCTTTTCTGTAAAGAAAGAAACGAAGAAGGAATTAGAATACCGCTATTATACGCCAATTCGATTTTCAATTCAATTTAAAACACGTGGCAAATTGGTTAAATCGTGCACTTCTCATACGCTATCCATACTAAATACTCAAGTAAAAGAACAGGTAGTAAAGAGAGTTAGAGTTAGAGAGGTTAGAGTATGATTACCAGGAAATTACGAAGAGAAAGAGAGAAGAAAAAAAGGTGCCGGGAAATACTAAAGTCAATATGCAAGCAAGTATAATAAAATATGTGTATGTATTTAGGTAACACCTTGAAAAATTCGCCGTGCGGTTCATGTACGCAGATCATCAACAATATAAATTCGTTAAGAGTGGGCGTAAAAATTTTGGTTTTTTTCTCACACAGATTCATTCTATTGTATATAAACAGATATGGTACAAGTCTGGGTATTAAATCATGATGACACATCAAATTTATACATATCGTCGTTTAAAGTACAAAACCGCGTATCAAGAGAATGCAAAACCTTGTATGTAAGATTGCCAACATTTGACAGGAGAGAGTAAAACCTGTCTTATTTCAACACGGTTCTCTCTTTTATCCTTAATTATCTCTACCAGTTATATTTAAATATCGATACATATTTGGCTATAAATGGATAAGGTTTGATAGCTTGAGGAGCTCCCGGCGAGCAAATCTCATTTTTGGTACAAATGTCAGTTGCGGGGTTTTGCAGAACCACGATACGCTGTATTGTACTTTGAACGACGATATGTATGGATATGTACATCTACATATATGTATGTACCTACATACATAGAATTGGTTTCAGTGGATGTATGTACATATATAGGAATCTGCTGTTTTTAAAAAATGTACGACTTTCCGTGAACTGTTTTCAAAATAAAAATGTGCGACTTTCCGTGAACTATGTTCATACTATATGTACCATATGTATGTATATGCACATGCATACTAGTACTTATAAATATTTATACAGTAGGTACACATTTATTTGTTTGTACGAAATTAGTTCCGTTCTGTTGTTGCGAATTAAAAGCTTTTCAACTTTTACCAAACTACATTCTTGTTTACTTATGTACATATGTATGTATATAGATTGGGGTGCATCACTCCTCATACAAAAAAAAAAAAAAATCGGTACAGTTTTTCCAACAGAATTATAAACTTTATTATTTTTTAAGACTTCCCATAAAATATTTCGGACAAATATTAAAATTTACGTGCGCTGCACTGATTTGAAAATATCTCAAAAAATCGGATTTTTATGAATAAAAATAGTTTTTAAAAATATTTTTTCCAAAGAACCATCCCAGATGATACAAGTTAAAAAATGTTGAAAAATTGTATAAAACGAAATCAAAACAATACACATTTTGAACTTTTTTTTCAAATCGGTCCAGCTCACGTAAATCTTTCAGGACGATTCTGAACAGAAACTCACTGGGAGTTTTTCTCTTTTCCCTTTCCTCCTATCATGAACAAAAATTGCCTGAGGATTTTTTTTTATATTTTAAATGACGGAGTTGAGCTATCAAGAAAGTTTCAAACAGCTCTTTCGAAGTTCCTCCCAAATTTTAGGGGAAAATGCTACTAGTTAATTAATGGGGGATTTCTTTTTCGGGAGAAACAAATTCCCGGAGGACAAACTTTTTATATTTTTTCGAAATAGTTTGGCGGAAGTCCCACGAACCATACCCAAAAATGAGCAAAAAATTTAATATTTAGTATTTTATAGCTGACGCAAAGATGACAGACCACCCGAAATTTAATTGACATAACATCTGACGAAGTTACCATGATTGCCATTCAGCAAGTGGATCCAGTCGGGGCTTTTTCAAAACGACTGCCTCTTTGGAAGCTGTACTAGAGGACCTTAGAACACCAGTGACATTCGTACAGCTGCGGTTTATTTCTGAAGCATCGAAAGTCAAATTAACAAAACTATCGAAGTGGGCGTGTCAGCGCAAAATTTGTACGGCGCACAATGGTCTGAGAGTAGCAGAAAGTCCAAGACTCTAAATGCGCAACCAAGGTTTTTTATAAGATTCTAAACATGAATGTATAACAGATTCCCATATAAGCTGCCAAAAAAGTAACCGTAATCCGATTTTACTGGAATTTGATATTCAATACTTTTGTCCAGGAATGAAGAAGCATACAAAAGGATGTAGATTGGTGAACTTTTACGATCGCTACATT